GTTTTATACATAGCTTCGTTAACAGCTCAATAATTATTTACCAATAATTTTTAATCCTGAGGCTTATCATCTTTTTTTTCACGAGCTTCGTCGCGGTCTGCCAATCCTTTCTCTTCCACGAAATAATTTTTCGCGTTCCGTAGCAACAAATACTTAACATTGTTATATTTTTTATAATTTTGAGCTTTATCATTTTCCTTGTAAAATTTGTCAAGTGTTCTCCGCGATGCTTCTAATTAATGAATTATCGGGTAAGTTGTCATTCGAGTACATCCTATATTATACTGGCTGTTAAATATTAAATTACTCAGTATACAAAATATTCGATGTGCTTCGAACCGTATTGAAAAGTTTTCGTGTGGATGAACACGAAACTTGAAACCAACCTGCACGTTCCACAAATTCACAAAAAATGGAGATAAAAAATTCTGGATTTTTGAAGAGGTGTTTCGGAAATTCAACGCTGCCACGAGCCATAACTTTCGTATCGTGCACGTAACGTCGTAACGTAATTCATGTGTTACTTGAACGAGGTAACATATTTCTATGCTTTCCATAAACTTTAATATTATAGTTTACTCTCGGTCATTTCGCGAGAATTTCATCAAGTGGTATTATAACAGTGTTATATGACTTCATCTACAAATATTGACAGCATCGTAGTTTACAAAGTATTATAGAATACTATGTTATTTGAGACAATTATAACAGCCAAATTGTGTTGTAAGTATATTTATTAAGACCTCTTTTCGTGTACTTGTTAATTCTCATGACTCATCTTCCTTTTCAGATTTTATCCCACACCTGCCGATTGTAATCCCATAGCGACTACGAATACGCAACTAGAACGTTCAACAGCATAAAAACCAATACTATAGCTATGCCTCGGTCGACAGATGGTCTGACTCTAATACAAGATCCACACGATTTATTCGTTGATCCGCATACCAGCTAGAAAACAACGAGGCCGTTCAGCTGTTTATTTGCGAAATACGATCCGCAGCAAACTATGCGGTTAATGAAACGATCGAGGCAGGTTGAAAAATCTGTGGATCGTGGAGGGCATCCACGCGAACGAAGAAATTGGAGAGTGAAACGTGGACGGTCCATGCGCGCGATGGATTGAAAGCGGGAAGCAAGGCAAGAGGTGAGCCAGACTATCCCGTGGTCTGGTACCGTCATCTCAAGGCGAAGGTGATCGGTTACCTCAGCTGCTGCCGCAGCTGACAAACCTTCTGCCGTTGCCAGTTTCGTCGTGAATATCCACCGGTGGATACATACTTACTTTCTGGACGACAGGTGCTTGCAATATGCTCAAGCGACAGCCGGCGTTCGTCACAATTCCTTCGCGTAGCAACAAATTCAATCGAATCGGACGATTTTTATCTGGATCTGGACGAGGGGGTTGAGCGTTGACCCCTTCAGGTGACCACGTGTCGAGTATGCATTATATGTATACAACTGCTCAATGTTCATTATTCTGTCTCCAGAGTATTTAAACGATTTAATTACTGAGTATAATAAATGTTAACGTTATTCAATGAATATAATATTATTTAATACTATACTGCAGAAAGGTGTTACTCGCTATAATGTTTTTTATTGACAATGAACCCATTTTTCATCTTACAAATATGTTACGTTCACGTCTTAAGTGTGTCCTCAGTCAAATGGAAAGATATGAACGAAGAGAATTTTCTATTATTCGAAGTTTTTCGTTGACAGAACGCAAAGAAAACGAGTTTAAAAAAAGTGAGAACCAGTTTAGGGAACAATACGTATAATCGGATTCACGTAAGATGCTTGCTAGCGACCAACAACCCCTCGACTTTAAATCTCGAGTTTTCGTGTATATACTTCAAGTGACCGGAAATAACTACTGTTTACATTGACACCAGGGTAGAAATATATTTATGTGTATGTATACGTACATGTATTTATATAGTACATATGTATATTGGGAAAATAGGGATCGATTCGTAAGAACATTATAATGTATGTACATACAGGCTAAATCAATAAA